ATCTCTTCCCTGGTCCACCCCCCAAACGATATCTTTTGTTATGCCCAACTTAAATACTAGTTCTTTCAGTCAGGTTTAATTGTTACAGCATTTTTTGTTTTCCGTGTTCATTGTTTATGTCCTTATTATATTTCTGCTCTCCTGCTCTGTACTAAACATAATTGTGTTGACGTTAAGATCTGCTAATAGAATTGACTTTTTCACGTGTAGGTACAACATCTGATTTACAAGAATATCTCCAGAGTGTCTGGCACGTTTTTCTCCAAATAGTAGACATATGTTAAACGTTTGAATTGAATAACAAAATATTTTTAGCCTGTGCTCTCCTTGATAAATAATTACCAAACACTGCTCCATAATGTTTTTGACAAATAGAAGCAATGCTGAAGAAGGTAATCTAGTTTTCTTTTTTAGTAAGTCTTTAAATATCTAGTGATTTGATAACTAACCTTTTTTTTCTCTGCTAAATCAAGTATATTTTGTCTAATAGTTTAGGTATATGATCCTAGTAAAAGGCTCTACCCAAGTTGTTAGCCATTTATTTAGAACATGAATTCTCATATACAATTATTTAGATCTATCAAAACACAGAAAAAGTTAGTGGAAATGATTTAGAGTTTTCCGTTTTTCCAGTACATGAGCACAAGCGGAAAGTTAAAGTGGGATCTGGTATTCCAAGTAGAAAATAGTCAGTCGGTGCACATCCTCCCATTCTAGAGAAATGAATTCAAGAAACATTCACAAAGCCACTTCCCAGCTCTTTTCCCCTGAAGACCATGCCCAAATAAAAGCTCTTTCATTAAGCTTTCCAAAAAAGCCACCCTTTCAACCTCAGGGCTTCTAAAGCACTGATCATCATTCACTTTGTATTTATGATGTTTTCCCCTGGCCTGTAGTCATTCATGGACATCTCAACACCCCTCACTGGACCCTCAGGTCCTAAAATTAGGGACCAGCTGTTTTCCATGTTTGTGTTTTGTACAATGCCCACGATATTACCTGGTGCACCAAAGGTGTAGATAAATCTGAAATGAATGAGAGAATAAAGACAGGAAATCAATTTTGTTGAATTACAGGTATGAGGTAAGAGTTTTCAATTTCCTTTATCCAAACCACAAGGTAGCCTCCATTTCCAGAAAAATTGTCCTGTCATAGAGAAGCAAAGAATGGCCCTGTGGGCATGGATACTGAGAGGGAATAATTTATCTGCTCTTTACCCTAGGTAGACAGAGTAGGGAGGTTGCTGAGAGCATGTGTGAACCGTGTGTGTAAAGCACTTAAGTAACTCATGCTTTAGTTTCCTCTTCTATAATTGTGGGCAAAATTTCTGTCAACCTTATAGGGCTGTTGTGAAGCTTAAATTAATTAATATGTGTAAAAGCATGTAGTGTAGGGCACATGGTAAATAATCAGTTAATGGTATTTAATCTTTTTAATCCTTTCCTTCTGCCTTACAAAGACAAAGGACACTGGGAGTTTGTTTTTCAGAAACGTTTGGTTCCAGAAAATAAAACCAGAGCAGGAAGAATATGGTAAATATTAAGGTGCATGCTTGACCCGAGTTCCAAATACATGTTGTGTACTTACGTGAGAGGAGTTGGATAACAAGAGCAGATAGGAAGAATATCTGGAGAAGACTCTTCAGCATTATAGGTTTCCACTCGGGTTCTGCCACTTGTCAGTTGTTTGAACTTGGATAACTACGCTAACGGACCACTCGGGGAGAACAAACCCCAATGTCTTTTTATCCCATTGGACAGAGAGAGGAGGTCTTCTGTTTGAGTTGCCACCTGAAGATAAATAACTGGTCCTTAATCGATGGAGCACAGGATTGTGGCATCTGAGAATTCAAATATCAGGTGTCCATCGAAAGGAGCTTGGACAATTATAATTACATATAACAGCCAATTAAAAAAAAATGGTCCAAACTGTGTGTTGTTTCTATTCCTAGCTGCTCAAAACTTTACTCCTGACTTAAGAGTATTGTTGATGAAAGGCAAGAAAAGAAGGTAAGTTGCCTTTAAATGTGACGTGACAATGAAACAACAATGTGGAAGCAAGAATCCAACAACAAAACATGCCTCAAAAGATGGAAAGATACATGGGGAAGATAGAGGTCAAACCATTATCTATGGTGGTAAAAACCACTGATTCTAAATGTATTCAGTTGGACCACATGAAACTGAGAAATGTATAGAATCCTTGAATTGTTATGTTACACACCTGAAACTAGTGTAAATTATACTTGAATAAAAAAATTAAAACATAAAATAAAAATTGTCAATACCAGACAGTTTTTAACTTATAAAAATGACAACTTAAGGGGCGCCTGGGTGGCTCAGTCGTTAAGCGTCTGCCTTCGGCTCGGGTCATGGTCCCAGGGTCCTGGGTTCAAGCCCCGCATCGGGCTCCCTGCTCCGCGGGAAGCCTGCTTCTCCCTCTCCCACTCCCCCTGCTTGTGTTCTCTCTCTCACTGTGTCTCTCTCTCTCTAATAAATAAATAAATAAAATCTTAAAAAAAAATGACAACTTCATATGTTTCAAGCCAACGCCAATTAAGAGATCATCACTCTTTTGAAGAAGGAATGGCTCAGTGATATTTTGCATAGTTTATATGGGGAATTATAATGATGAAAGATTGTCATTTTTCTATTAGGTTTATATTGCTGGAACCAAGATATATGAAAGAGAAGGGAAATAAAAAGTGCACATGCAGCGAAAAATCACAACTGAGCTCCCTTTTATAGGGGTAAAAAGGTAGAAAAATTGGACTATAGGTAAGAATGGTGTCATGAAGAAGAAAATCTTATCTATGGATAAAAGGTTAATTTAAGTTTGTGCATTGAGAAAGGGCTTCTAGACATGCCCTATAAATTCTCCCAATGACTTTGAGCAAAGCCCCTGTTAGGTTACCAAACCCTACAGTTGCATGTCCCTATCTTCTCTGTTATAATCCATTAATGTGCAGTGGAAGTGCCAGGAATCGCTGTGGACTTGGGAAGGGGAGAAGTGCCTTCTCCTAGCAGTCTCTGGAGGGGAAGTAAACAGGAAAGACTTCATAAAATAAGTATCTCCTGCATTTTATGAGGCAGACATGTCACAGGTCCTATAGTTTCATGCTCTCAGTTGAACAGGTGAGGTGGAAAAACACTGAAGATAGTAGATTCTGATTATAACCCCAATAAAGAGCAAGGTCTATAATGAAATCAAGAACCTATGATAGATTTCAAAGTAAAAAGACTTAGTAACAGAACACAGCTGGCAGATAACATTTAGGAAACATGAAAAGGTAAGACGAGGGGTGTTGGCCTAGGGGATGAGTGAAAAATGTGTAACTGAGACACAAATAGGGTATTTGTAAAGGGAAATATACAGAAAATAATAGTTAAAGTGTTGGCTTTTTAAATTTAAAAGGGTAGAGGTACATCCCAGGAGAAGTGTTATAAACAGGATTACAATTTAGGAGTCCTCTGTACAGAAAAAATACTGGGCTGGAAAGTTAGTCTTTCTTTTTCTTCTTTGTCAACCCCCACAAACTAATGGTATCTGCCTTGAGCCTTAGACTGAGAAGGAGTCCAAATCCAGGGCTGGCCTCAGCAGGGAAGTCTCCATGGTCAGTCAGCAATGTCAGTCACTAAGTTTGGAGGCAAGAGTGACATCAAGGACCAGCCACCTGCCCTCACAAAAGATGGTGCTAAGCTACTTGGACATGGAGGTAGAATGAGAGATCTGCATGATGAGCACAGAGCCTCAGCTTTGCCCAAAGCTGAGTGTGAGAGGGAACTGAGCAAGGCCATAAACAGAAATTTGAGAAGAAATTCAGGCAGGTCCAGAATCATAGAAACCAAGGGAGAAGAGAAGGCCATAAAGGAGGTATGGTCAACACAATCACATTCTGCAAAGCAGGAAGAAGAATGAGGCTGAGAACAACCCGTAGACTGGGCAGTGACAAGTTCTTGCGTGCCTTGGGAAAGACCGTGTCATTTCAGGGAGTGATGAAGTGAACCCTGTGAGGAATTAGTCAATGTTTATGTACCACATCCTTAAGGAATTATTAAGTCACCTCTCGGCCTCCACTTTTTGGGATAACTCATTACTGTATATCATTAAAGCCAGATCATAAGTTTGGATATCACAAACCTTAGGCGGGGGAAAGTACTGTAAGGTTGACTTTTGGGGTGCCTGGGTGGCTCAGTCATTAAGCGTCTGCCTTCAGCTCAGGTCAGGATCCCAGGGTCCTGGGATCCAGTCCTGCATCGGGCTCCCTGCTCAGCGGGAAGCCTGCTTCTCCCTCTCCCACTCCCCCTGCTTGTGTTCCCTCTTTTGCTGTCTCTCTCTCTGTGTCAAAAAATAAATAAAAAAAAAAAGGAGAGAGATACAGAAATCCTCAAAAAAGAAAAAAAGAAGTACTGTAAGGTTTACTTTTTAAAAAATTGAATAAAGGTGTTTTCTAATCTTGTTTTAAAATTATGGTTAGAGCTCACATGAATGCAATTTTAAGATATGGTATTATTAATTTTTATTGTAAAAACTAACTTAAATTTACATCAAATTAAGGAAACCTTATAGAAGAAATTTCTTAAAACAGAGTCACCCTTACACAGACTCTGACATGTGTTCTTAAAGTATTTAAATTAATGCATCTCAATACCCCCTCTACCCTAGGCGGACAGAGTAGGGAGGTTGCTGAAAGCATGTTTGAATTGGGTGCAAGGTACATAACTACTCCATGCTTTAGTTGCCTCTTCCATAAATTGTGGACAAAAAGTAAAAAGAAAAGACTATGTCTAGTAAGATATTCAGGTCCCCCATCTGTCTGACTTTCAAAGGCACCTGGTAAAGAAGAAGCCATTCTAGAAAAGAAGCCCTCATTTCCTCTCCTGTGAGGCTGAGATGTCTGTTGAGATACCCTCATTAAAGGAAACAATGGCACTTGCCAGTGCGCTCTGGCCCTTTAAGACCCCGACAGTCTGATTCGCTAGGCACCATGGAAACAAGAGGGCACGCAGCACCCAAGACACTGGCAGTTGGACAAGTAATGGAGGACAAATGGGACCTCATGGACGGGTAAAAGCAAGAAGCACTTGAAGAAGAAAAGAAATGTTAAGATGACCTGGAGGGAAGAAAAAGAGATTGGTAAGAAGAGTAAGTGCAAAGTAACAGAATTTATTATTCGATGCCCACAACAACAACAAAAGGAAGGGAGAAGGGCCATTTCTGACATTTGTTGATAGGAAAAAAACCCCAAAGAATCAAAATTAGGTACTCTAAAAATCGAATGTTATTAGACAAGCCACAGTACTAACTTTCCGTATCCCGAGTAAAGATGGAGTAAGCCAATTAGGACTTCAGAATCCCCCAGATTTTTTTTTTAATTTACTGACCAGTTAAATTTTTTTTAATGGAGAATTACCATAAAATACCACTTTTTTTTTTGATTGACAAATCAAGGACAATCTGTAATTGCCATTACATATATGAAGACATTTTAATGTGATACCAATGCTACGGTGAGTGAGTGTCAGATACATTCCTGTGTGCGCGCGTGTGTGTGTCTGTGCACACGTGCATGTGCATAAGAGCACATGCCTGATTCAGGAAAAGGGAAGAAATTTAATATAAGTTGAAGGAGAAAATAATAATGCAAACAAAAAAGAGTTAACTTGCTGTAGATTACGTTCTTTCTTCTCCCCACTCACGAGTGTATTAAGAGTTCTTTCCTATGATGTGAATGCTATTTCACTGTAAACTTTTAAACAATCTCTATAATTTACATCTTGTTTTAACATTCTCTTTTATTTCAAAGATGGTATTGTCGATAATACTGGGAAGGGATTTTCCTATTCACTAGCATCTGACAAATAATAAACTTTTTTTTTTTTGTGAGAAGAAATAAAAGAGTTCACCACTGAAGAGGTATCCCGATAATGTGAACACTGTGCTAGGCTAAAAACTGGAGTCATCGGCAAGAACAAACAGGACCCATCATGACATTCCCAGGCCGTATGGGAAAGATCAACAAAAGGACTTTTCCAGTGGAATCTCCTCTAATGCCACAAATCCCGCGTGGCAATTACTTTCATCTTCAGGAAGAGAAGCAAAGACTACAGCTAAAGAAATTCCTTCTTCATAGGATGTTTCTAGTGGCCGAGATAACAGCAAACACAGAAAAAAAAGATATTGCTGACTACTATGAACAAGCATTCCAGTCGATTTTAAAACACCACCTAGGGGAAGCAGTGACAGGGTTTCTGCTGGTATATCCTACTTCTATCCTGCACATCCTTGAGAGCTCCAATGGTACGCTTTACCGAATTCTTTTGGATTATCTTAACCATCAAAAGAGAGAAGCAGAATTTTTTATCCAAGGGATGAAAATTATCGTTGTATCCCATAACATCCCAACCAGGCTCTTCATGCAATGGCATGTTTCAGTGATAAAAGTTCCAGTCATGTATCTTGATGATGTGACACAGACACAGTCCACCGAAGAGGTCATCACAGAGTTTCTCACTCAGACCCATAAGCTAGCGCTCCATCTTTTCAAGATGGTTAAAGTGGGCGCTAAAGGACCAGGGGATAACTTGCACCAACTTGCACCTGAACTGCTCATCCCAGAACAAATGATAAAGTACTTGTGCAAATCTGAAGAGTTCATGGATCCAGACACTTTTCTAAACATATACAACAAACCCATACACGTCACTTTGGATTCCGAGGTGATATGGCCGGCTCCTACCTATTTCTAGGATTGAGAGAGATGTGGTGGGTGGGGTGCAATCTCTCAAGGAATTGGTGCTACTAAAATAAAAGAACAGGATTTCTGAAGTAACTCTTCTTTTGAAAAAAGAAAGCACCAGAACGCCACAATACACACAAGGTAATATATTAATCTTTACAGAGGATGTTGAGCTAAACTTGAAATTAATGTTTATTCTGATATTAAGTTCAACATGTTATTTTAATGGGTGGAGGGGTTTAATAAGTTAATAATTTTTCAAATGTTAACATCATTTTGATGAAATGGCTTGTTTTTTTAAGAAAAGTATAGATAATAAAGGGCAAATTCCGATTCCAATTCTCATTCATTCTTTCTCTTTAAGATTTTATTTATTTATTTGAAAGAGAGAGAGAGAGAGAGAGAGCGAGCACACACAAGCAGGGAGAGCAGGAGAGGGAGAAGCAGACTCCCCACTGGGCAGGGAGCCTGACATGGGGCTTGATGCCAGAACCCTGGGATCAAGACCTAAGCTGAAGGCAGACGCTTAACCGACTGAGCCACCCAGGCGCCCCTCACTCATTCTTTCAAGAGTAAATGAGCAGTAGCCACCACGTAGAATCAAATTTCAGGAAAAACCAATTTGTTCTCAGAATATAAAATTTAGGGGAAAGATACCATCATTGAGTTGCTTGCAACCTACGTTTAGAGGCAAGTATGTGTAAAAGTAAATATGATATGGTATGATCATTATTATAGTTAGCACTATGTAGGAAATACTTGAAGGACTAATCTCTGTGAGATATGATTCCTGAATTCAGAACACAAAACCTCAACTTTGAAAACAGTTCCAAAGCTCATATATTCCGAACTATATAATCAAGAATTCTGAGGCTATTATAAAGCTGAAGAACACAGTAGCTTTTTGAAACAACCAGAAAATACATTGTCAGAAGGCACTGCATTCTTTCATGCAAAATCATTTTTTGAGCATCCCTCACATGACAGACATTTGCCAGATGTTAGGGATATGGCAGGGTACATAGAAAACATGATTCTTGCTAACTTGTAAAACATTTATAAATGATCCCACAAAAGATATACAAATTGGTTTTTTTCAATTTACTTCCTATAAAGCAATTAATGACGTGCAATTTCTATATGACCTATTTTAAGTTGATCCTTCCTTCACCTAGGACCAATGCCCTTATTTAAAATAATCAATGCCCTTAGTATAATTTATTTAAAATTATTTAAAATAGTATATTATTTATTATTATTTAAAATAGTATAATTTATTTTAAAAAGTATCATTAGTTTAAACTATTAAATGGCATTAATATCTTGATGGCTTCAGTGATATTTATCCAAAATTATTTCAACATCTCATGAAACAGATTTAGTAGAAGAAATACTGTTTTCCGTTTTCCGTTTTTTTTTTATTACTATTTGATTTTCAGTCTCTTTAGGGGGAAAAAAGCAATCTCAGTATACATCTCAAATTTGTCATGTGCAGATAATTTATCATCACTTGTTCCATATCAGAATCAAATTTCAGGAAAGACTGCTTCTATTTTTAAATTTTGTAATATAGATTTAGATACAGAATGGCATTTTTCATTCTTAGCTGAACTTGAAGTTCTGTTCATTTAAATTTAGTAACAGAAAGAGTATATTTTAGATTAAACATGAAGTAATTCTTCTGGTTAAGAAAGAGTATATAACTTACAAACATTTTATCAATTTAGCAAATATTAAACACCTTCTATTCATCAGTAATGTGCTATTTGCTCTGAAATGTGAAAAAGACACAGGCATCCACCCTTTTAGAATAAGTATTCAGCAACAAAATGAATGGAAGTAAAAAATGCTTTCCAGGCAAAAAAAAAAAAAAAAAAAAAGCCATAGAGGAAAGACTTGAAGAAGTAAGCCTTGATCTAGGCTTGTGGATGTGAGGAGAGGTTGGGGAGGGCAGATGAGCATATTTACAAGAACAGAGAACAAGCAAAAACAGGAAGGAGAAAATGAACCATAAGTGTTCATTAAATCAGGTAAAATTCCTTTAGGAAGGTAAATTTTGTTTGTTTGGGAAGAGTATTTTCTAAAGTTAGCTAGTGAATAGAAGTGCAGGTTACAAATAAAATTGTATATTTATCTATATAAAAGTACGGCGTATTTCCCAAAAATGCCCATGGCTAATATCACATCCCACATGCTCTTCTTACAATGTGGCCTTAACATTCATACATATCATGGTGGCTTCTAAATCCCCTCCCCTTAAAATCAAGCAGACCTTTGTAATTGCCTTGACCAAGAGAGTACAACAGAAGTGATCCCATGTGACCCCCCCACGGCTAGGTCATAAAAATGCTACTCACTTTACCACCATCACTTCAATGCTAGCTAGCTCTTAGATCCTAAAAATACGCTGTGAGCAATCCAAGTGATTTTCCAGAGGACATCCCCAGCCGAGGTCCCAGCCAACAGCCAGGATCACCACTAGATATGTGAGTGAATGAAACTTCCGGTGATTCCAGACTCTAGTCTTCCAGTCAACCCTGGATTTCAAGCCAGCCCAACTGACACTGTGTGGAGTAGTAGAGACGGTGTGTTCCCACTGAGCCCTGTCCAAATTGCAGATCTGTGAACGAGATAAACGACTGTCGTTGATTTAAGCCCCTATGTTTTAGGTGGGTGATTATGTAATAGTCTGGAATAATATATATATAATAGGAATAATCACATATATATGTATACATATATATGTAATTTCATATCATTTAGTTTTCATTCATCTCTGCCACTAATATTTACTAAATACCTACTGGTAAATGTTTACTAGAGGGCCAAGCACCATGCTTGTCACTGGGGATACAAGCAGCAGCTGAAAGGTGTGTATCTTCCTAGCATAGGCCTAGCACACTGCCTAGCATCGATCTTTTATTGGTCTATAATACTTTCGTATCAGAAAGCATTATAGACCAATACGAAAAGCACTGACTGAAAATTAATTCACTAAGCCAAAGAAAAACATTAAAAATCGGCATCATTTTTGGAGGAAGTTATAGGAAAGATCTCAAGGATAATATTACCGATTTACTTAGTATACTGTTAATTTACATTTGAAGGATTCTTGAAGTGTCCATTATGAAAGTAACTGGAAAAGAAGAGCAAAGAGACTCTAAATAAATCAAACTACTTATGTATTTATTTCTGTTTTCGTGAGAACAGGAGAATGAGTTTATTCAAATGGAAATTACCCTTCCTAGAAGTCACATTAAGGGGGTTTCTACTTATTTTTCAGCTACAACATCCCTGCTGAAAACATTTTGTGACTTTTATGACAGATGAATGAAGAGGTTTATAAATCAAAGGGAGTTTAAATATTTTAGCTACATCTAGTATTATGACTCCCAAATAATATATACTCCAACTTGATTGGTGACCTTGATATTCAGTCTTCATTCATAAAAACATCTGTTGTTGTTGTCGTTGATTATTGCATTCACTCTCAAAGGAATATCTGCTGTCATCAAACATATTAAAAGAATGTGACACTGTCTCTAAGGGGGAACACAAATATGTTTTCAGTAACAGTTGTATTATTGAGGTTCCTATATAGCTCACTAATATCATGTCTTTAAAAGGGAAGACACATAGTCTATGTTTAGATATATTTGATAAAATGCAGAAATACTATAGTCAGACCTTACAAAGGTAATTTAATTTGATCAAGTCAAAAAAATGTGACTTATTAAAGCTTAGGAAGACTCATAAGGTAATTCTCAACCCAATGAGAGTTACAGTTTCCTTACAATAAAACTTTCCACAAAGCTAGAGTACAGGGGCGCCTGGGTGGCTCAGTCAGTTAAGCGTCTGCCTTCAGCTCAGGTCATGATCCCAGGGTCCTGGGATAGAGCCCCGCATCGGGCTCCCTGCTCCATGGGGAGCCTGCTTCTCCCTCTCCCTTTGCCTCTCCTCCTGCTTGTGCTCTCTCGCGCTATCTCTGTCACTATCCGTCTCTATCAAATAAATAAATAAAATCTTTTTAAAAAAATTAAAAATAATAAAAGCTAAAGTACAGTTAACCCAAGCAGAAAATGAGTATTTTAATACTGAACATATAACGTTCAGTGTTCTTATAACAATGAACATAGAACATACAACATATACATATCCAGTGAACATGTAACATTTAAACTGGTGAGGCCGGTGCCATTCTAATTCTTTTATTTTGATATGGGTATCCTCACAGAAGACTGACATGCCAAGGCTCTTATGTTCTTTTCAGAATAACCAAGGGCTTTCAGGAAGGTTATAGTTTTCATGAAGGTTAACTAAAATAATGTTATTTGGAGGAAAAAAATCCTCCCAGGGTGAATTTAAAATTTTTACTGTCTTCATCATAAGTAAAGAGGCATGTGGATTCATTCATGGAGAATTATTGCTTAATACAAATAGATTTTTACATTCAGTGACTTTATCGTAACTTTAGCGACACAAAACCACATTTCAATTCAGTTAAACCTATCTCTAGCAGTAGAATTCCCCCAACTTCCACAAGGAAGTGGAAATGAGACAGCCTATCACCAACTTTGAGATTATTTCATAGTGTAGAAAATGATTTAATGTGGAATTAGAGTTCTCCCTCTTGTGGCCAATTATGTAAATTTCCAGATTACCTGCTGATAGGACCTATGCAGTAAACACAGTGCATAGTTTTTAAGAGAATATAAAAAGAACCCCCCAAAGCACTTTTCAAATGTCTGCTCTAATCTCCCTGTTTGACAGATAAAGATTCTGAGACCCAAAGACATGAAGTGTTTTGCCAACAATGAAAGCAAGAGTTGATTAACAGAAGTTTCCTATTTCCACTTAACTACTTTACATAATTAGTTGTGGTCATGGGTAGGGGGGTCTGGATTTAATTCTGAGTGGTCTCTTCACTGCGGCACCATACCCCTCCTGTGCTCCAGCCCTCATGTAGTGCCTCCTCCGGATGTCCTCCTACATTTCCACAGGCATCTCCATCTCCATATGCTCTGTGTAGAATGCACCCCTTCCCAGCCACCACCCCTCCTTCAATCTGCTCCCCCACTTGCACTCCCTGTAACTAGAAAATGGACCACTCTCCACACAGTTGCCAAGTTAGAAACCTGAACATTGTCCCAATTTCCCCTCTTCCTTATTACACTGACAGCCAATCAATCCACCCCTTTTCCCGCAGAAAGTGTTTCTAGTTGTCTGGCCTT